CCCCCAGAGCCCCTAGAGGTGTTTGTAGGCCACCTTGGCGGGCAGGGTCTGCAGCTCCAGGCGCACGGGGCACTTGTAGAAGTGGGTGAGCAGGGTCTCGGCGTAGCCCTGCAGGAAGTGCAGCTTGGCGGGGGGTAGCGCTCGCCCCAGCAGGATGCAGAGCAGCAGGAGGTTGGCGCGGCGTTTCACCACCACCTGGTCCAGCAGCAGCCCCGGGAAGGTGCCCGCCAGGAAGCGCCGCACGAAGGTGTCCTCCAGCGCCCGCTCCGCCGCCCCCAGCTCCCCAAACAGGTTTCCTGCGGGCACAGGGGTGGTGGTGGCACCGGGAACGTGTCCACATCCCGTGTGTCACGGGTACGGCCCTCTGCGTCCCGTCCCGGTGGTGTCCTTGTGCCCCATATGGCTCCATCCCACCACATCCATCTGCCCCACATGTCCCTGTCCCCACATCCTCATCCCCTTGATGGCCCATCCCCACAGTGCCCTTGTGCCCCACATGTCCCTGTCCCTCTGTGTCCCATCCCAGTGATGCCCATGTGCCCCATATGTCCCCATCCCTGTGATGCCCCATGGCCCATCCCCACAGTGCCCCACATGTCCCTTTCCCTCTGCACCCCATCCTTGTGCCCGTGTCCCTCTCCCCCACATGTCCCCATCCTCACCATACCCTGTCCCCAGTGTCCTTGTGCCCATCCCCACATGTCCCCATCCCCTTGATGCCCCATGGCCCATCCCCACAGTGCCCTTGTGCCCCACATGTCCCTGTCCCTCTGTGTCCCATCCCAGTGATGCCCATGTGCCCCATATGTCCTCATCCCCATGATGCCCCATGGCCTGTCCCCACTGTGCCCCACATGTCCCTGTCCCTCTGCACCCCCATCCTTGTCTTCATGTCCCTGCCCCCACCATGCCCATGTGTCCATGTGTCCCCATCCCCACCATGCCCCACAACCCGTCCCCACAGTGCCCTTGTGCCCCACACGTTCCTGTCCCCACAGTGTCCATGTGCCCCACATGTCCCCATCCCCATCATGCCCCACAACCTGTCCCCACAGTGCCCTTGTACCCATGTCCCTGTCCCTCTGTGTCCCATCCTGGTGGTGTCCTTGTGCCCCATATGGCCCCATCCTACCACATCCATCTGCCCCACATGCCCCTGTCCCCACAGTGTCCATGAGCCCCACATGTCCCTGTCCTCACCATGTCCTTGTCCCCTGTGCTCCTGCCCAGATGACACCCATGTGCCCACGTGTCCCCATCACCCCTCATAGCCCATAGCTTGTCCCCACAGTGCCCTTGTGCCCCACATGTCCCTGTCCCTCTGTGTCCCATCCCAGTGATGCCCATGTGCCCCATATGTTCCCATCCCCGTGATGCCTCATGGCCTGTCCCCACTGTGCCCCATGTGTCCCTGTCCCTCTGCACCCCATCCTTGTGCCCCACATCCCTGTGTGTCCCTGTCTCCCCCATGGCCCATAGCCCGTCCCCACAGTGCCCTTGTGCCCCACATGTCCCTGTCCCTCTGTGTCCCATCCCAGCGATGCCCATGTGCCCCATATGGCCCCATTCCCATTATGTCCCCAGGGTGACCCACCGGTGTGCTGGGACAGCCAGCCCTTGCGGTGGGCGATGTAGTGGGGGGGATGCGCCTGCTCGTACGTCACCGGCTTGTCCCCTTTGCCCACGCGCACCCGCGCCGCCCGCGCCTGTGGGGACAGGGGTGTCAGGGGACACACACCCCACAGGAGGGGGGATACCCCCCATAGGAGTGGGGTAGGACC